TAAACAATCCAAGAAATCTATAGATAAGTTTGTTAAGTTTTAAATAACGTATGAATCTTATGATAATGTAAAAATACTCGACACTAATTATTTAGTCAAAATTTACACTCTCTGATTGGCTATTTCTCGTTAGAATTTGTATTACATGACAAAATAAGTGTGTAACATTATTGCCATTTTCGTGAACAATTATGCTTAATGTTAATAAAATTATTTTCATGAAAATAACATAGCAATAGATTAACTTGTAAATGAACTAAACTTTTAATCAGTAAGATAAAATCGAATTTTTTTATTTACAAAATAAAAATTTTAATTACTTTTTAAAACTCAATAAACTCTGCTTACTCTATTGTACAACTTTATTTTAACCAGATTAGTTCTGGGTCCTAGGAACTATTCATTTTTGTTATTTATTGGTTGTATGTTCAAAATATTTATGTTTACATTCAAAGGTTATTCATTGTTCAATATTTTTGGGATGAATGAACGGGAGGAATGGCTACTGGTGCGAAGCAGCTTATATGCCATTCTATTATACAATCAACTGATTCACATTTAATTTTTGGTTATATTCTGTTTTATTCCCAGATTATTGTTACTATTTTTAAAAGAAATGTTGGCGTTATATAAAGTTTGGCCTTATTCTAATAACAAAACTTCTTTTGTTCCTTTTTTTGCTTAACCAGTAAAAAAAAGATGTATAATTAAATTGAATGACAATTCCGAATCAGCCCGACTCAGATCTGGGCAATAACCACGAAAAAATAGTATAAATTATAAATAAAAACCATATCTTATAATAATGATGATAATAATGAAGCAAATTTGCACGTCTTAAATTATGATGGATGATTCTTAGTTCGAACTTTTCCATTCCTAGACCACTATTTTTTTAGTCAAAATTTACACTTTCTGATTGCCTATTTCCCTTTAAAATTTTTATTACCCGCCAAACTTAAGGGTGAAAGGTCTTTGTCCAGCTCTCATTCTAATCTTTAGCTTCATTTCTAATCTCTAACTTTTTGTCATACAAAGAATAAATATAAAAAAGCTAATAGCGTAAGACCCGTCGCATTGCTCCGGATTTAAGTATCTTTATATATTGCAGCTCATTTATATAATGTTATACTTCATTCATCCCAAAAATATTTTACAATTAATAATCTTTTTGCATATAAACAAATCAATATACGAATTAATTTATTTTGTAGTACATACTAGTTCCTAGAGCCCAGAATTAATCGTAATAAGGTTGTACAATCAGGTAAACAAAGAGTTTTAAAATTTTCATTTTGTAAATACGAAATTTGATTTTATCTTACTAATGTTAGTAAACAACGGATATTCGTTGGATTTGCTTTTATTTAGATAACTAATTAAAAAAAATTGTTTTTAAAGTCGAATGAAAAGTATTTCACAGAATTTTAATGAAAATATTTTAATAATAAAAGAATAAATAAATCGATAAAAGAATAAATAGATAGATCAAGATTTGAGGCATTTATTTAAGTATTTTTTAAGGATAATTATTTACATTAGATACATTATTCACATATCTTATAACAAACGATTATGAATGAAGGAAATTACTTGCACGTTTTTATGGTGACTGATTCTAAGGTCCCAACTTTTCCATATTCTATCAAGTCTAAAAGAAAAAAAGTTTGTAGACCACCAAATTCTTTTATTCTATATAGAGCTTATCACCATTCTAAAGTCTCTCCAAATTTAACAAATAATGAAAATTCTAAAATCATCTCTGAATGGTGGAAAAATGAAGATGAAATAGTAAAATTGCAATGGGAAAAACTTGCCGATCAAAAGAAGCTTGAGCATATGCAACTTCATCCTGACTATAAATATCGACCTCAAACTGCTAAAAAACAAAAAAAATCGCAATAAGAAACATAATAATTCGAATCAAATTGAAGTTGAACCAACTGTATATAATTCAGATGTCATTCCTACTTCTACATTATTTAATTCAAATGACATTCGATCACCTTCTCTGCCCGGAACAAACAATAATGCAAATTTGTCAAATGAGCTTTTGGTAAATTCTCAGGAATCTATGCTTACTACGTTTACTACTAAATACGAAAATTATTTTAGTTACCCAACTCTTGAATGCTTAACTCTCCTATACTTTACAGAAAATTTAAATAATATCTCATGGATTCCATAATAATTTTTCATCTCGACTCATTTAACATATCCCTATTTTTTTGTTAATAAATATAATTCAGAGTTTACAAGACCTATTTGGAAAATATCAAATTTGTTGTTTTCTTAAGAAAAAATGATGTAAAAATCATATTATGATTGTTAGCCAAATAAAGGTAAATAAACAAAATAATAAATTGGTTTCCTTTCATGTGAATTACGTAATAATAAACAAACAATTTGTGACTTGTTTTTGAAAAAATTATTTAATCTTGGCAAATAACCGGTTTTAACTTTTGGGACAAAATTCTGCAAATTCTTTTATTATTAGAT